TATGTATATCTCAATCGTCTTGAAGTTGCTGTTAATGTTGGCGAAGTGGTGACCGCTATCGTCTTTGCTGTTTTCATTCGTAGGTAATCATGATCTGGTTGCTGTTGTTATTATATTTTTTTTATTTCATAATAATAAGTATTATTTTTCCTTTTTATCGCATCTTCATCGTGATCATAATTAATTAGATCATTATTAATGGTGAATTTCGCGCTGTGTTATAGGTGGTATCCTTAGTTGTTTTTTGAATAATTTAGAAGCATTTCCTGTGCACGATCGAGGGGCCGGACTCGTCATACTCCTGCTTCGAGATCCACATTTGCTGGAATGTCGACAGAGAGGCGAGGATAGATCCTCCAATCCAGACGGAGTATTTCCTCTCCGGTGGGGCGATGATCTTGATCTTCATGGTCGAAGGCGCCAGGTTGGTGATTTCTTTCTGCATGCGATCGGCAATACCGGGGTACATTGTCGTTCCCCCGGACAGGACGGTGTTGGCGTACAGATCTTTACGGATGTCCACGTCGCACTTCATGATCGAATTGTAGGTGGTTTCGTGGATGCCACAGGCTTCCATACCCAGGAATGAGGGCTGGAACAGAGCTTCGGGGCATCGGAAACGCTCGTTACCGATTGTTATCACCTATAGTGAACAGAAACAAACGGAGAAACAGCACAATTAAATCAGTTCAACAAGGTTTGCTTAGTTTGAAAATCATAGAAAATTCAAATAATTCCTATAATTGTATCTAACTCACAATAAAAGGACCTAATACAAGATGTCTGCGTTTGTGTGTGAGGTGGCCGCGATGACCACATTTTTTGTGATATATATCACATGCCAGTGTAAAAAGCAGATAGACAAATTGCAAGCGCATGAAATCCAAACGGTTAGCCTACTTGTCCGTCGGGTAGCTCGTAGGACTTCTCCAACGAGGAGGACGACGCAGCAGTCGACATCTCCTGTTCGAAGTCGAGCGCGACGTAGCACAGCTTCTCCTTGATGTCACGGACGATTTCACGTTCCGCGGTGGTGGTGAACGAGTAGCCACGCTCGGTCAGAATTTTCATCAAGTAGTCCGTGAGGTCACGGCCAGCAAGATCAAGACGAAGGATGGCATGTGGGAGAGCGTATCCTTCATAGATGGGCACGGTGTGAGACACACCATCGCCAGAGTCGAGCACAATACCGGTGGTACGTCCGGAAGCGTACAGCGACAGTACGGCCTGGATGGCGACGTACATGGCGGGGGTATTGAACGTCTCAAACATGATCTGGGTCATCTTTTCACGATTGGCCTTGGGGTTAAGTGGGGCTTCAGTAAGCAGGACAGGGTGCTCCTCCGGGGCGACACGCAGCTCGTTGTAGAACGTGTGATGCCAGATCTTCTCCATATCGTCCCAGTTCGTGACGATACCGTGCTCGATGGGGTATTTTAAAGTGAGGATACCACGTTTCGACTGGGCCTCGTCGCCGACATACGAATCCTTGTTGCCCATACCAACCATGACGCCCTGATGACGGGGACGGCCGACGATCGATGGGAACACGGCACGGGGTGCGTCATCTCCAGCAAAACCGGCTTTGCACATGCCGGAGCCATTATCAACGACCAGAGCAGCAACATCATCGTCGCACATTTTGTCTGTTTTTTAGAGGGTTTAGGTCTGTGAAGCGAAAGCAAATACAGGTTAGATACGCTTGCTAAAATTATACCTGTCTACTCAGATTTTAATTGGTGGATTAAGTTCTTCTAGATTCTAGAGGGCTAGCAGAATGGTATCGTCACCGCTAGTGGAAAACTGCAGAATCCGTACGTTGTTCGCATTATGCTATAGCCACGAAGTAGTTCAAGTAGACTTTTACTCAAGCCCCACTAGTCGACTAACTCGAAATATTTTATAGTCCTATGGTTTGTCTTCGTATTTCTACCACTGAAAACTAGCACAGACAGCGGTCGCCACTCAGTCACAGTAACCGTAACAAACGTCCGACTCCGATTACGAAAGAACCACGATAGCAGTCAGTGGTCGCTGTTTCAGTAACAGGAGCCGACTCAGCAGCAGTACCATGGTACCATTACGCACCGTCACACGAACTCGGCTAGACGCACCGTCATAGCAACCGACCGTAACAGACTCACACGCACACAACTCTCAGTAGGAGCACTAACTCGTCGGTGAAGTCAGTGCTAGAGAACCGCTTGTAACGAACCGCCCGGAACGAAATCCGACGGATCAAAGCCGCAGAAGAACGGAAAGGAGACGTGGCGGCAGAGACATTTGAGGCAACCTCGTCACCACGGGGAGGCAGACAATACGAAAACTAGGTCGCTCGATGCGACCAAAACTACGGGGAATAATCCAGATTTCTCGCACACATTCGCACTTACCAAAATGCTTACTAAAATGTTCTCGCTAAGCGATATTTGCGTGCACGAAATACCCGGTACTAATGAATGGTGAATTCCTTTTTAACATACACAGCACCAGTGATAGCTACAACAGCTTTTCAATGTCGGTTTTAACTGCATTTTGATTATCCCGAAAAATTCGGTCGTTTACAGTGTCCTTCTACAGGTCCACCAGTCCATCCACGGTCCGACCAGCGGGCAGACCAACGGTGATGAGCCGGGGGCTCGATGAGGACCTCAACTACAGCAACAACAACCAGGAAACCAACCTTTTTCCAGCGGTGCTCACAATACTACGGTACGGCTATTGCCATGCTGTAAAAGGTCAGGAGTACTTCTAGGTTTGGAAGCAGCAAACTGAGTAAAAACGGTAGGAAGTAGCACTTTTTCTCAAGAAAGGATGATTGGCTTCTTTCCCCCAGATTTATTGGGATCATAAGAAGGGCGATTCTACCGGAATTGCCCGTGAGGCGTGCTGGCAGATAGGCGGTGAATATGCCGAGCCATACTATGCCAACGTATTTGCTTATCTGCGTATCGATTTTACAACTACCGATACAGAACGATGCTAGTGAACTAGATGAGACTGATTTGGTAAAAGCTAATCAGTCACTGATCGAATCAGTTATGGAGTAGCAGTGCTAGTGCCTTTGCATCAGTATGGGGCACAATACACTCCGCAGGTCAACATACTCCCAAGCAACAAGCAGTTTGCCACAGACGATTGCAACATAGACCGAATCAACAGAAACGGTAGAGCACAAAGATGGCGTTACAAAGGCGACTTATACTATACCAACTGTAAGTTCTTGCGCATCCTACTCTGTACCAAAACTTGTTTCCCATTGATCAAGCATTTGCCTCGTCGCATTGCCTATTAGGTCGGGTTGGTATTCCACATTTACAAACAGTTAACCGTTTACAATGTGGCGGAAAACAAGACAACAAAGCGTCAGAAGTTGTCCGCCATTTTCTGCTCAGAAGTTTTGAAATACGATCCCAGTATCTTTGACTCCGTCGAACTGCAAGCCATACCGGGTCAATGAACTACAATTAGAACTCACAGGAATTAAAACTGATACCGATGTAGTCTTGCTAATATAACTAACAAAATACTTCATACACATTAAATCGTATCTTTGAAATAACAGCACAGGTTATTAAAAAATCGATATCTTTTTATCTATGTTGCCTTGCGCTGCCGACGCCAGCATTACGACGGCAGCGGTGGTGGTGTGATTCGTGCACAGTCAGCACAGTTCATGCCCTACGCATGCCAACTATGTATGCCCCACATCCTACGATAGGTTGGCAGAAGCTTTAGAGCAGTGAAGGAAAGACGCCGCTTCTCCACACAAAATAAATAGCCCCCTTTCTGTGCCATGACGCGGTAAGATCGTATGAGTGGTAGATTTTCTAAAAGCAAAATGCTACTACTAAAAAGCCACGTACAACGAGTCGGCATTGATTTAGCACAGCAGCACTAAAATAGAAACTCTGCTGCTTCTGTCGCAGATCTAGGCTCTCCATCGCCGGACTAGCGCGTGCGGGTATACATCCGACTAAAACTAACAGTAAAAGCTTGGTTTTATGTGCTTTAGCTGATGTGATAATTTCACCGGTTTTTATCGAACGCTTTATTTTTGAACACGAACTGCCGGCCGAACTTGGCATACATGTCAACTTACTCCGAAGGTAAGTGATCCTAGCACTGTCTTTCGATGTTTTAGAGAGTCTTTGTTACGCAAAGACAAGCCGAAAATTAATTATCGTCACTAAGAAGAGAAATTGTTCTTCGAACTTGCTGATAAGAGCAACGGAAAAAAGCTATCAATTAAGATTGAACTATAGGATAGGTTTTAACGCACACGATAGTAACGTATAAATAAATTTGTTTGTGATTTAGAGTTATTTAACGGAGTGTTTAAACTGAACGTTTAGTATAAATAAAGGGAGAACGCTTTTCAGTTCCTCGTTTTTCCGTAGTACCGCGTCGTGCTCGATGGTAGATTAACACTTTCTCTAAGTCTTAATTTAATAAGCACAGCACATGGTAGACTACACTGCATTAACATATACCTATCCTTTGCGACAAATCCTGCGTCCCGCAGAAATTTTGCTATCTGATGTAGCACTGCCTGTAATTCAAATAAATAAACGAACAGTTTTTCCTTCCCTGCGGTGTCGACAACGATGATAGAATACTAAGCAGCTTCGCCTACAGTCACTTCCTTATGAAGGGCATTCGGCTCGTTTCGTCTAGTTCTTAGCAATTTTCAGCACCGCCAAGACAACACCCCACTGCAGCCGCTGCTGCTCTGGGGTCAACGATTAAGCCGGCAAACACCACCCTCAAGTAGCACAACTACAGGCTTCCAATTTCCCTCCTCCAAAGCAGCGCGAGTTTGCGACGCGCGCGTACGAGAGGGAAGCTAACTCGATAGCCCGATGGGTGTCGAGAGCGTCTGCAGCCGTTTGGCCGAATACCGGCCGGTACTCGGCTCGTGGCGGCTGCGACAGAAGTAGCGGCCGTTGCCCTTACCGGTGGTGCCGGCAACAGTCAGAACATCACCTACCGCGCCCACTCTGCCTCACAGCCGCTTCGTCCTATCCAGGCATTCCATTGAACCCCGCCCTAGGCCTGCACAGCCCTTGTTTCGGCTTCCGAAAGGAAACACCATTTGTATGCCCTCCCCACGCGCAGAGCCCAAAAGCAGAAGGCTCCCCCGCACACCTCCTGACTCAGAAACAGCACTAGCTAGACAGTGTGAGCGAACATTTTCTTTGCTCCAATATAGTGCGACCCCATGAGACCGCGCCCAATGGGCCAGGCACCCAAGCACTGAATAGGACGAACACGCCATGCAATAGTGCTGCATACAGATTGCAATTCACTATCGGGGACCGGTTGAATAGTAGGCCGAATCTTTCGCCCGGGGACGTTAGTAACGACGACAGCAGTTGTCCTACAAGCTAATCGCTTGTAACGCAAGGTGCACAGAACGGCCAACACCCCAACCCCAAGCAGACTCATTTGGCTCACATCTGAGAAATACAAGCTCCTGTAATATCACTCAAAAAGTATTTAAAAAGTATTTAAGCATTTACCAAAGACGCAGCATCATGTAACGAATCGATGGTAGCAGTTGTTGTCGCCCGTAAAGGTGACTTGTAATCAAGATCCAATAAAGACCATGATAGGTTCTTCATATTGGCGGCCCAACTGATTAACGAACACTACTTTTTACTTGATAGTGGCTATAGGGCGAGGACAGCAGGATCACCAAGTTGTGTAATATACTTCATAGTAATAGACAAGGAAAATTTATGTAACGCATATAATGGAAAGATAGTACGTTAAGGTAGCTCTATGAATAGGTAGGTCAACAGACCGATTCTTGTATGCCGTTTGTTGTTGAAAGCTAATCAAAGAGATCCTTCTAGAAGCAATGCTGAATGTTGTCGCACGCATTCACTGCTCCATTCAACAATGACCAATAACTGGGGAACACCGAAGGAACACCGCTGACGACTCACTGGCCTAAACAACGACTAGCAGCACGTGAGTACAATGCTACTCTACAAGCACCATAAGTCACTACACGCACTGGCAGCAGAACGCAGCACGATCCACTAATAACGACTGAATAAGCGACTAACGGCTGGCGCCGGTATTGTCGCCAGGGGACTTTGACACTTGACGTTTGTCGTCTGACACACACAGACCACTTGACCGCCGCGTTGTACATACACCAAGAGACTGATCAATAGTACCACTAACACAACGACGACGTGACGACAATGAACAGAAACATCACGGAATCTACCAACGCGCAAGAGCTGCGTACGAGACTCTTTCCAATGGCTACTGCCACAGCCGGCGGCGACAGCAACAGCGCTCTTTTACCGGGAAATGGACACTAGCTGTGGTTGCTTGCTCTTGTAACAGTGTTAGTAAGCAGTGGTAGATTGTTGGTAGCGTAGGAGATATTATTAGAGCTACGGATTGCAGCAGCAAATATGTCGACTTGTTTGGTGCCGTTGTCGCTTGCCGCCGCCGCCGCCGCCGCCGCAGCGGCGTTGGCTTTTTTGTTGCTGTTGTCTGCTTCAATTATGGCGTCGTTCCTCGTTTTGGAACCGCCGCGATTGTCTCCGTTGATGCTGATCTAAACAGCGATTCATACTCGTTCAGCAGATATTTGCCGTTGTTGCCGTAGTTTGTGATCCGCCAGGCAGCAGTCGCCGAAAATAAGCGCCGGAGCAGGTTCGACAAAATCGCTAACTGCGGACAATATCAATGAAGCTCGCAAAAGCCAAGTATATAAACATCACTATAATACTTGACGTATACAGATTTATGTGTATATATAAAGAATGCAAGTACGTTTACGTACGTTGTGTTGAAAACAAAATCGCTATGAGGATACTAACCGTACACCGTAAGCATCACAATTTGGGGACGACTGACCGAACAACCAACGCACACCCGGGTGCGTTTATAGCTAGACGATCTAACAAATTAACCGAGGAAGAAATTGGCAAGTGTATACAACTTTAGCTGCACTTGCTCTCTCGCCGCCAAAGTTTTGAAATGTTCGAATGTTGTCCCGTTATTGATGCTACCACTGCCGGTGATGTTAATGCGGTATCAAATCGAGAGAGGGCCGCCCCCCGTTCCACAGTCAAAGAACGGCAGCAACAGTTAAATGTTGGGGTCATCACAGGAAGATGAGACGCGAGTGGACGACAAATGCCATCACGCCAGATCCTCACGCACAACGATCGCTGCCGTCGATGGTGACAACTGAAAAGCGACAGAATCGAGACGAAAAACTGACGCTGCCGCAGTTCTGCTATGCGATCAGCGCCCCCTACGGTAACAGCGGCGCTCGCCGAAACGCCAATGAGCGTCCACCATCCACGAAGTGTACATGGCGTCACCATCTCCCAAGCAGCAACGGCAGAACTAAATCCGCAGAACTCAGAATCGTCGACGTTGACGCTGTCCTGGTTTTTCCGGCAGTGGCGGTGCTCTGAAGTTTCTGCTGCTACAACTTGTGCCACTAGCGAGCTTCCGAATACTCTTATTGTTACCACCAAGTCAGAAGTGGAAATGGAGCGGCAGTTGGGTGACTTTAGCTTCGCACGGTCAATTCTCCTGGTACTAAATGAGGCAATGATACTGCTTCGCATTGCCCTAACCGTAGATATCGAGAAATAATCAAGGTAAATCATGAATACAAGTGTTCATTACTACGACTACTACACAGACTAGTATGAATCTAATAAATATACTGCATCACACAACGATGCAAAATCACATTTTCTACTTGTTCATTTTTGGCTCTACATTCGCTCAGTTGCTCACCCAGCATTCAGCAAAACAAATGCAAAGGTCCTACAAAATAACACAAGTACGTAAACATATATGTAAATGAAAATATAAATATTAATGTTTGCTCCTTATATACGCGAAAAGCACCGACCAACGTGCTTTAAAGGCCAACCACGTCGTAATTATCGTATCTTTGGATATTTTGTTTGAGCAATAGAAATTCGGCTGATCTGGGAAGTCTCTATTATTTATGCTGCTGCTCTTAACTATTGCTCTAATATATTTTGTTTAATTATAAACAAAATATATATATGGATGAGCAATAAACAGTAAATTTTGTGAGCCACTATCAACTACTAGTAACAATCCCACAAAGTTCTATTTCTGTGGAACTAACAGTTCACCAAAAGAGCGAACATAGTATTCTTGGCGATGCGTCGCTTACTTCTCTATTGTCCTGACAAGTTCGTTAGTCATCGCTCCGGATCTCGTGTTCCCCCTATACTTGCAGCTATTTGTGTGCGTGTGTGTGTGTGTGTCTGTAAGCAAGTACTAATGTCTGGATCAACCGACAGCGTCCAGTTGCCATTCATTTACCCCTCAGGCAGACAGACAAACAGACGGAGACAAGCACTTTGCAAGCCAGACAGCACGCATTTAGGTAGCCAGTTCCTCAAGGAGTCGACCCAGAACACTCCTCACTAGGCAAAATCTCAGACGATTGCCGATAGCTGTCCCTTAGCCGCCCTGCCGCTGCGGCCATAACTGTTTCAAGCAATCTCAATGCTCGCTGCTGAGTAAGCAAGGGAGCACTGCTGTTCACGGCATCCCTGTCTGACTGATCCGTCCGCGACTAGTGGTCGAGCGTCTAAATGGGCAGAGGCCCACGGGACAACTAGGAAACAACAGCAACAGCAAGTGAGTAAGCTTATCTTGGCATTTGTTGGGACTGCAGTAAGTGTCGACACTTGCTTGCATCTGCGACGGAGCTCCAAAACGGTAGAAACGTTCGCGAGTTGATAACTCCGTACAACCGGCAGCCATACTAGAGCTCTAGCTAAGAGCTCGCATAGCCAATGAATAGTTAGCACGCGCCAGACGCCAAAAGCTATTAATCAATAAGCTGCTTAATGAATCCGATAGCACTATTAATATACAATGATTCATCATACGACTACGACTAGCAGAAATGCTGTGCAAAAGCCTGTAAAAAAAACTGATACTTGATAGGACAATGTTTTATAAAACATTTTGTTTGGCTCACTTATCATTTTGTACGCACAAAGGATTGCTTGAAATCTGCCTTCATACTCAGATGGAATAGACTACAACGGAAAGCAACAAAAACTATCCGTCTTAGATCCGCAAAAATTGTATAATAACACAGATTAGCCGAAAGCGGATGTATATTATCATTTTCAAAACTCATAATGCCGTTGTGGATGAAAATGCGAGATCCTATTGTCGACACCGCCTATAGGGAGTTTACAGGACAGCAGCGATGCTAGGCTAGCGGCAGCTGCAATAGCGGCATAAAATACATAGCGCAGCGCTACAGTATAGAGTCGGTGTCCTGTCTGGTTTAAGCAGCCATGCTCGAGGCACGCCCAGCCCACACCGGCGAAACCACCGGCAAAGCAAGGCAAACATGCGCCGGCCGGTACCGAATAGAGACAGCGGCGCTGCACCTTCCGACCTCCGTCAATGCTATCGCATTTTCAGCCGCTCTCATCGTTCGGCCGACATGAGCAGACACTCGACGCGGTAAGTAAATAGGCAACGAACCAGGCAAGCACTACGACGAAGGGGGCGACAAAACTCACTCAAGGCACCGAAAAAAAAATGACGAATTTGTCGAGTTATCCTACTTCTTCTAATATCAGCACACGCAGCAGCAATACTCGTTGCGGCCACCGTAATGAAATCACCTCGCCTGAATGTTTCAAACCACTAACTTTGATGGAACTGTGCATGAATCGAATGGGCGAGGAAAAAGAGAGAACGAAGTAGAAATGATTCGTCGTAAATTTGTCGTAGCAGATTTACACGTTACACCTCGAGTAAAACTAGCTGAGTAAGAATCGACCAGGGACCGTCAGAGGTTTCCAAAAACGTTAAACAAGACGCTTAGAAATTTCTAGGCGGTGACGCGTCGGGCATAAAGTGAAGCCATGAAGCCGGTAGGCGTCTTCAAAGGACGCGTTGCCGAAGCCGGTGCGGCTTCGACTTGAATGGGCCGCCATGCCACGCTTCAGGCAATCGCTACCAGCAGCCACAATGGCTGCTTGCTCATGTTCGTAACAATGGCATACACGCGTAACATCGGTAGCTCATCGTCGTACACTGTCACATATCGCCAAATGCGCGTCGCTCCGAAACGAAACGATGAAAATCCGCCAAAAACAGACAACAGTGAATATAATGAAAAGAATTCACGCACGCGCAGCACCAACATACACTAACTAGACGACAATGCGGTTGCTGCTGCTGGTCAAGCTATCCAGGGACGATAGCACCACACTAAGCCGGCATCGGGCGACCTGAGGCGCAGCCCACGCCTCACACGGTCAACGATTCCATGACCGGTATGAGAAGGCTCCACCACACGGCATGGTATGATGGATTTCCGGAAATTCTCCCGAAAAACCTGTCTAACGGCAATGGCCACACACGATGCCGGCTAGTTCGATTGGTGCACGATGACCCCTGCACTACACTCGTGTCGCTCACACTATTACAATTACCTCCGGCAGAAAACTTAGCAGCGGACGAGACGCTGAGGGGACGCCCTAAGGTAGCGATGGATCGGTTCTACTTTGTAGCCGACGTGTAGATTAGAATGGTAGCAATGATGTTGGTTTAGCTATAACGAACTTACACGAACAACGTCACAAAACTGATGCAGCTCCGTGTGCTGGCGACGACCAAATGACTGAAGCCTTATACTCCCTCCGAGCGAAGCTAGTCGCCGGCGTCAGTGACGTCGTCTCCAAATAAGGCGATCCGATTGGTTGAGGGCGAGCGGGGAGTCGGTTCGACCAATCAGCGTTCGGCAAGCGACTAGTGCCCATATATGGTATGATGTTGGAGCGGCGCGCGAAAATTTGAATGAGCGCTCCAACGCTGACAGGACCTGTCAAAAATTGGCGCCAATCAAGCCCAACCATGAGACGAAACCGCGCTTCAGCTAGTTAGATATTCTAGATGGACTAACAGCATAAACGTGATTTCTGTCACGTCCTATATTCGATATTTATTGCTAATATAGCTCTTATTATTATTGTCATATATCAGGGTGTCCAAGAGAATGTACGATGAACACATGCCTGCTATTGGCGCTGCTGCCGGCGCAACAACGGCGCCAAGATGGCGCCGTCTCTACAGCGTATACACAAGGAAGGGGTAAGCGCTCCAATAGGTGAACTCCGAAGCGAAGTGCCGGTCTCAGCAAATAGAAAATGTCATTCAGCCAAAATCGTGTTGTGCAGTAAAGAACCAGCAGATTAAAATAATGATGATAAACGCAATGTCAAAGCCAACTGAAAATTCAGTGCTTTCGGCTTACGCCGGAGACGGAGTAGGAGGGGAAGCCCAATGCAATTGGAACCGCTGTCTGACGGACTGGCGGGATCCGGGCGATAATGGCGGGATGGCGGGCAGTTTTGAACAGGTCGTTAGTGATTTCGGCGTGCACAAAGCGACAAGCAAACAAACCGGCAGATAGCTGTGTCGCCCAGGAGCCGTTTGTCTTCACGTGTGGCGACTAATCGTTAGAAGACAAGACCTTGGATCTATCGGTCCCGAACGATGCAGAGAGCCATTTGCGAAATCAACTAACGGTTCAAGAGCTTGTCGGCCACTCGGAAACCATCGTATGATGAAACCGACGAGTCAAGCTTCCATCTATCTAGAAGCAACCGATTACCGTACTAGCAGAGGTGCGGCAGCGACGAAACGAGCCACAGAGTTAAACCGCCGGAAATCTTCAGTGTCCGGTTGACGGACAGCTGCGGCCTCGATGCTGATAGTCATCGTAGCGGTCGCTGTCGCTGATTTTTATTAGATAACTGGAAAATAAGCCGGTGATTCTGAGCCATGCGTGACGTATTCGGGATAAAAAAAATTGTGGTTAAATAATTTAATGAGATAAAATATTGCAATCACAAATGCTAACTGTCTCCGTGATTTCGTTTCATTGTGAATAGAAAGAATTCAAAAGTAGATCAAGTTTGTGCTACACGACATCACAGTCTTATTCAGATAATATCCTGACAACCATTTTTCGTCGTTTCACTTTTAGAAGAACAATGTCTTCCAAAAATAAAGGCTATTTGCTTGCACGATGATGCCTGAACAATTTCTGTTTCAAAATCAAATCATGTGTAATATATGAACGTTTATATTTTATAAAAACAATTTTATTTTAATATGTCATGTAACGACAGAAGGGCCAATGATCGTCTAAACGAAATGCTGGTGTTTAAAGGTTAGCTTTACCATATTAAACAAAAATATACGATTTGGCGGATTATAATGGAAGAGTCAAAATGGAGGTTCTGTGAGGCTTGCAGTCTACTCTAAGAAAACTTCAATAACAGGATTCGACCTGTCCGGTTTTAAATTGTATACTAAATTCGACTTTATTAAATCAAATTCAGAGAATACGTGAGACTTGGCTTTCAACGTAGCTAAAAACACAACACCAAAATACTTTGTTCAAATTGTTTAAATTTACTTCTCGCTAGACTCTTGCCAGTATGTTATTTTTCATTACACACATTCGAACTGTGAACCAGGTCTCTTAAAAGCTGCCGTCTCCTAATCTATTAAATTTAACACCCTGTATAATTTAATTTAAAATTAAGTTGGAGAAATTATCAAACTTCACAGTCGTTACTATGATTAGTTTGGCGTATAGTAACAGACATATTGAAGTCGTTGATTTGACACGGTTCAAATGTACAGCGTGTTGGCTTTGGCCAATCTCTAATGTTTTTTTCAGTTGATTCGGTTCTGTTTCAACTTAGTGTAAGTTTAACGTAAGTAGAGTCTGGGCTCTTATTCATGTGTATAATAGTTTGAAGTTCGTTTCCTTCGATTTACTATCGATTTTGTTAGAAATGTATGCTACTATATAATATACTTACCTATTTTTTTTTCTTTAGACCCAGATTTATGTGTAAAAGGTGTAAAAGAGGTGCTCAACTCTGATGCACAACATATCTGAACGACCACGATCCGACTTTACTGGTTTGATCAATAAAGTTTTTCAAAAGTTAAGGGCATGTTAATACCACGTACGAGCCCCTTCTCACTATAGTCGAAACGTCCTAAGTTTAACATTGTCGGTGTTTTTATCAAAAATTATTACTTTTAATAAAAGGAACACTATTTTTGTTTTTCTAAGAATAAGTATTTGGTTTATTTATTCTATTCGATATGCCAAATATTTGTTCGACAAACTATGTCACTTCTGAAATATAAACATCACATGTGCTCTAATTTATTTTCTTTTTATAGCTAATTTATTTTTCGATAAGCGCAATATATACTTTTACAAATTCATATTTCGGCGAACAGCACATTGGTAAGTACCAGTTCCAGTAACACCGCTTAATGTTGCTATATTGAATCCGTACAGCGTCATCAACTAATGCTACGATAATGGAGTTCAATTAAACTATTTATTTGGTATCAACATTATCGCATTGCTATGATAATCATCAGTTACCTTACTATTTACAATTTGATGTCTAACTTGGCATTTTCTACTCAAGTGAATGAAAAATATTGTCTGAGCTTTACTGAGACCTCCGAGTGTATGATAAAGGTACACATGCAAACGAATTTCAGCAACAGAGCGCCTCTGTTCTATGTTCTAGTTTTTCGTATATTTGACAAACATATAAACTATAAACACTAAAGTTAATAACAGCAACCTAATTTGAACATCTACGCTATTTCCTGCGCCAGTTGGATAGTTGACAATAGACGCAGGCAGAAAAGCTAGTTTATTAGCTAACTGTTTGTTAACGTTGCAGATCCGGATATTGTCAGCATTATAAGCCTCGAAACAGGGCGCCCCGTTTCGTATCTCCTGGCAAATGATGGCTTAATGGCAGCGTCCGACTGGCGATTATTATGTATTCATATTACACGCTATTAATTAAACCGCATGACGACGATTAGAGTTTTGCACTCATTATGGAGTTCTCTCTACCTTGCAAAATCTTTGAGCGATTCCTTCAACGTATCCAGCTGTCTCCTCTTCACGTACCGCACCCCTACGATTAAATAGAGAAGCAAATCAGGACCCTTTTGCCCGTTCACTCAGCTATATGTATCTGTATATATATATCACGAACATGGTCCTAGCATGACAATGACGCACGAGAGTTAAGTAAGGCCAAAAAGGCATAATTAAACCTTCAAATAATTAATCTAATTTTTAATATATTATTGAAGTTTTTCAACCTTTTCTTTAAGTTGCGTCCCACGTCCATTGTTTCTGTTGCCGTCATTGCCGCCGGTTAGTAATTACACCGTCACAGTTTTCACCGTCACAGGAATAGGCAGGAAAGAAGTTCTAAATATGTATTTGGTAATACGTGCTGTCTTGCGTTCCGCGAGCGTTGTCTCTGGTATCCTGAGAGGTAAAAGACAGACAAGTGGTGCATACAGGGCGAAAGGTAGCTGGAAAGTAGTCCTAATTATTTTTTACTCTTTGCCTTTTTACCTTTTTCATTACGTTCGGTTCAGCAGTCAGCAGCAGCAGCAGCAGCAGCAGCAGCAGCAGTAGTTACAAAAGCAACGTCATTTCTGAAAATGCACCAGGCCAATCTGGTTTTTTCTAGCAGTCACTTACCCCTTTACCAATTAACGATAGACAAAGTCGCATAAACGTCAGGATCAGGATCTAGGCTTTCCAAAAAGGAGAAATGCACCAAAAGTACGAACTTAGATTAGTGTAACAACAAATAGCAGGTGAAAGTCAGAAGCGCTAAAACAAAAAGTAAAACGTTATTCATTGGCAAGCAACACTTATCTGAAAATATTTCGAAGCATTTATGAAATGCTCGATGATCGAGAGAATATAAACAGTTCCAGATAGTAAAAGAGGCAGGTTAGTATACGGCTGTTTTATATTAAATGACACTTCAACGTGGTTGCCATTAGAGACAGTTGTTAGAACGGTGCAACGACACCTATCAATATGATAATGGCTAATGACTTTGTAATAATGTTAATTAGAACTTAAAATAATGTTAATTTGTCTGGTGAAGAATGTACCAGGTAAAAACACGATACTGTAAGACAAGTCAAAAAGAAGTTTAAAGTTAACTAGTACGACTTAGCTGCATTCATAATGTAACTAGGTAGCCACGTAAGAGTGATAGTAGAGATAGTTATATATGGATCTATAAAAATTAATAATAATAATGTAAAATTTAAAATCTAACCCAAAACCTTTCAATTAGTAACGTATAGATACTTCGACGTATATCTTAACAACTCTTCTTAACGGTGTAAGCTCATCTAGTAATTATCGGGTCACGAGTCAGACCCGTATTTAACAGTGTATCGCCGCAACTAATTTGACTCAGCCAATTCGGCCTTATATATGATATGGATAGCTCAGAGATGCGCAATCAGAGGTTTTACGAAATGTTAGTGGCTGTAATAGGTGATAACAAAGGTCTCGCAAAGTAATCAGCTCAAGCACCGCGTTTAAGAGTCTACCTCATTTCTGATGGCGACTAGAGCTATTATGTATTATTTAATGATACTTCGGAGGTTCTGATCTGGCTTCTTATCTATTAGATATAGACCGAATAATCCTAAACGCCAGAATGATGCTTATAAAATGTGTACGCCACACTGTCTACTAAAAAGCGTAGGTACATAGCGTAGTGTTAGAAAAATCGGTAACTTGTTAAATGCTTTTTTTCTTCATCTCGAAATATTT